ATAGAAAAAATTGAACTGCCCGCATCAAAGTGGTAAGAAACACATCAACTTTTCTCAACTAAATCAAACAGCTGTAAGAATCAAACCAAATAAAGCCTAGCTCAATTAACTTTTCAGTTTGGGAAGAAGACAAGAAGGATGCAAGATGTAATTTAATGTGCTGACTATATGCATGTTGACTGCAAACATCAGGGGGTCTATAAATTTAATTACTTGCAAGTTTAAGAGTCCTATTCAGGACTTCTCGACACATTCTTTTCATGTTCTTAACATTTGAGACTTTTAAGAAAGATAGAAAGACAACTGGAGTTGACAGAAGAGAAAAGGTGATGAAGATGACAAGTCAAAAATGACATATTTGAGGTTGCGTTTGTGGTTAGGTCTATAAATGAACCAATGCACTTGATGAACTTAAACTTGACTCGATATCAAATTAGAAAATAAATAAATACGAATATTTTTTAAAACTCAAAGGTTAATTGAATCAAATTCGACATAATCTAACTCATTTATTAAAGTTCGTGAACAAACTTGTTTATTATTCAACAAGCGACTTGTTAAATGCTCTATACTTATATGATATTTTTTTAAAATAAAATTTGATTCATTAGAACTTATTTAATTATATATATTAAATAATGTCATATTATAATTTAATATTAATATGTAAATTTCATGTAATTTATTTTTATTTTTTATTTCAATGAACTAATTGTTAGTGTCAATTTATGTATTTTATTGTAATAAAGTTTATTTACAATTTATACATTATAATAATTACTTTATAAACACTAATTAGATACTAATTAAAAATTTACTCAATTGTTGATTTATTTAGATTTGTAAAATATTTTTTTAATAATTTTATTTAAAAACTAATCATTTAGTCCAAATTTTAGTTTGTTTAATTGCTTTCTATGAAAATTTAAGTACAAGAGTTTTTAACTTTATATGAAAAATTAAGTACTCATTCAAGTTTTTAATTTTTTCAATTAATATAAACAAGTCAGAGTAGAAATAAAATATGATCATTAAAAAATTAAGCAAGCCGAGTATGAAAACTTCTGTGAAAGCTCGGTTCAAACTTAAACAAACATAATATCTAATTGCCCTAATAGGAGATTGATCTCTTTCAATGAACAAGAATCAGTGAAAGAAATGAACAATGGCATTGGGGACACAATAAAATGATTATGACAGTGAGGAGTATAAGCTCCAGCCGACAAAGGAGAAATGCCAGTGGTTGACGAATTATTCAGACTGAGAGCCAACAAAAGAATAATGGCTCTGCCGCATCTTTCGTATGTGTTGCAGCATGAAGAGAAATGGTATCTACCCAAATAATGTGATATCTACCCAAATAATAGACAAGTTGAACATTGTCACACAAAAGCACACCCAGCCTTCTTCTCAATCTTGATTGAAAAAAGAGAATGAGATCACAATTGACAAGAGAGTCATAGTGGAGTTCTCTACTGAAGACAAATTTTAGGAACAAATGTGGTGTGACGTAATACCCATAGATACTTGTCATATTCTTCTAGACCATCCTTAATAGTATGATATTTGCACACATCACGATAGTTATAAGAGCACATAAGCTTTCACCAATGATGAAAGCAACATCATACTCTTACTATAGAAAGAGTCTGAACTAATGGGCAGTTGTACAGTCTCTAGATCATAATGACCAACGCTACATTTGACAAGGCATTGAGAGAAGGCCAACAAATCTAGCATTGGTGGTTTTAGAGGCAGTAAGTATAAATTGATGCTAAGCGCCGTGCAGCCCTATTAAAAAAAGATTCAAAATTTCAGGACCGATAGTCTTCCTCCCAGGTTGCCATCATTAAGAGAAATCCAACATATAATATATTTCATTCAAGTTCGGTTCATCCAAAAAAACATGCCTATCAAATGCACCAGCCAAAAACGCTAAGTTGCAGAAGCAAGTCACAAACTTAATGGCTAACGGGTTGGTCCCTAAGAGTACTAATTTATATGTGATTTCACCTCTAATTGTGTCAAATAAGGATGGCTATTGGCACATGTGAATGGATAGCATACATGAACAAAATCACTATCAAGTACCAATTTCATATTCCACGTCTGAATGATCTGCTAAATCAATCGTACAGAGTCAACATTTCTCCAATATCAATTTGCACAATGGTTATCATCAAATTTGAATGAGACGAGATAAGTGAAAAACAACTTTCAAGACATGAAATAGATTGTATGGGTATAAGGTCATGTCATTTGGTCTATCCAATGCACAAAACACATTAATGTGACTGATGAGCTATGCTTTTTTTTTTTTAACTTTCATAGAAAAATTCATGATTTTGTATTGACAACATCCAGTGTATAGCCATTTAGATGAGTATTGTAGAATTTACAGTGGGTTTTTCGAATTATACTGACATGGAAATTATATGGAAACCTGAAAAATTGTTATTTTCTTACAATGTAAACTTACTTCTTGGGATACATTATTTTAAATGTGGGCATTGAGATGGACACAATGAAGGTTGACTATTATGAAATGGCCCAGCCACAACAGTCATTTAATCAAGTAATTCATTTCATGGACTAACATCTTTTTACAAAAAAAAAAAATTATAAAAAAATTTAAGTTTTGTAACGACAACCTTGATTGAGCTTCTCAAGTCGGATAGATTCACTTTGCCAAATGATGCATAGATCAGGTTTGAAACTTTGAAGAAAAGGTTATTCAGGCTCGGATCATAGCTCTTCTAAATTTTAATCAGGTGCTTGAGGTTGAATGTGACGCCTCAGATGTGGGGATTGAAGTTGTGTTGAGTCAAGAAGGAAACCATATTGCTTCATCAATGAAAACTTGAATGATTCCATGAGAAAATATTCTATCTATGAAGAAGAGTTTTATGTCATTATGAAAGATCTCAATCACCGAACTAACTATTAGTTGGCAAGGATTTCGTGCCTCTAAGATGGAGTCTTGTCTTCATTCAATTTTGCGCTCAAATGACAAAATAGAGAGCTAGAATAAGGTAGATGATACCATCAAAGTCGTCACTTCTTGATAAAAAAAATATGCACAAACTTTGAAGTATTGAAAGATTTGCATGCCACTAACAAGGATTTTCAAGAGATTTGAGTTTGTTGTCACGATAGATTGTATGAAAATTTCCATAGATTAGACATATATATATTGCACTAAAACAAACTATGCATTTCTAAGAGTTCCTTTAGAGAGTATTTTACAAGTGTCACAGTGGATGGATGGTCAGAAATTTTGGTAGACATGCCTCTTTAGTGAAAGAACTTTTATTGGCCTAAATTGGTATGAGACATGGAGTAACATATTTGACAATACAGAATCTATCACTTAGCAAAGGCTCGAGGACAGAATATCAATCTGCACACTCCCCTTCCTACATCAGGGTCATTATGGATCGAGGTAAAGGACGACTTCATATTGGGCATCACTCAAACCCAACGAAGTAGGTATTCAATTATGGTGGCAGTTGATCGCTTTTCAAAGATGACATTTAGGATTCTACCACAAGAAGACAGGAGCTTCAAATACTACAAAATTTATATTCATAGAGATTGTCCGTTTCCACGTACCCCAAACATCACTTCCAACATGGACGTAAAATATCAGCCATTTTTAAAGAACATATGAGATAAGTTGGGTATCAAGTTACATATCAATTTAATGCCATACCCCTAAACAAATGGGCAAACGAAAGTTGTAAATTAGAATAAGGAAACCTCATTAGGTACATTGAAACAAATTCATTAGGCAATGGGGGTTGATTTTTCCTTAGGTCGAGTTTGCTTACAACCAGTCTGCTAGTCAGTTGACAAGCCACAATTCATTTAAGATTATATACGGATGAAATTCTCTCACTATTGAAAATAGTGTCGATACTTTCGACTATGGAGCTTAATATTGATATAGAAGCTAGAGTCAAAATGATTCTAAGTTCTAATCCTACATAAGCAAGTGAAGGAAACATCAAACAAAACAACAAATATTACAGGCAAGCTAACAGATCCATAAAGACTATGGTTTTTTAAGAAAGGTGATTTAGTGTGGATCAAGCTAAAGAATGAGATATTTCCTACAAGATCACTCAAAAAGCTCAAGCCCAAAGTCAATAATCCATTCAGGATTATTACAAAAATCAATGATAATGTATATAAGATTGATTTGCCCAGAGACCGTAATATCCCTATTGCTTTCAACGTTGTTGATTTATCATCTCATTATGAGAATCAAGATCTAATGAAGAAGGTGGACCCTCTCCTGCCCGCGTAGAATGATGCAGACATTCTTTCAGCTCTTGATCCCACTCCCATGCAAACTAGAGATGTGTGAACCAATTCAGTAGAGATCAACCCAAGCTATTACAGCCCTAAAGGACTAGCCAAGCCTCACCTTAGTAAGATTACTATTAGGGTTAATTTTACTTTGATACATATAAATATATTGTTTATTCTTTATTTCACATTTGTGGGTTTTGATTTAAACAATAAAAAATGTTCTCTCTAGCTCTTTCTTGTCGGAGTGTTGTATCCCTAGATCTTTCTCAGGTGGGTGCGTGCTTGATTGGATTGAGATAGTGATCTTTCTCGAACATTTGAAGACCTCCAATGCCACAGGTTTTGCAGCCGACCTATAGTTTTCCTATTCCGGCTTGCTATCCAACCACCGAGAAGCCTGATTTCTCAGGCATCAGCATCAGTCATTTCTCTCCCTACAACTTACCAAACCCCTCTTAATCCCCTCACACCGTCTAGCAAACCCTAAAACAGTGTTTGTCGCACAGGAATGAATCGGAAGCTAGGACAGCAAACTAATATGACCGTAAGAAAGCAAAATGTATTAGATAGTGATAAATCAAAATATGACTAGTGCATGATACACGATAGCAAGGTTCAAAAGAAAGAAGTATGTGGCTTTCAGAACATTGTAAATACATGAAGAAAAATCAATTAGTTACTATTACCCTTTTCCAAGAAGTGTAGGCATGGCTGATAACTGAGATGGTAAGTTTCTGCCATAGTATTTAGAATATAATCCGTGTGCATGACCGCCACTAGGTCCAGGAAGCTGCTCCAAATCCGGATAAATATAATGTGTTTCGCTCGTCTTGCATATTGAAAAAAAAAGATGGTTGACTGCAGTCATAAAACCTGTCCACGAAATGACAGTGAGTTTAAAAAAGGGATCACTTACCAAAAATTGATGGTTTATCTCTCCCGCAATTAACCTCTTTTTGTGCCAGTCATTAGCAAACTCTTCTGATGCCAAACGTTTGGTACCTGGATCAAGCAAAAAGAAATTAAATTACAATCATATAATTTACATAAGAACATTTATGACTTCAAAACCAAGTTGATAAGAAAATTACAAAAAAATCAATTTTGTTAAATTGAGCTGGCTGAATAATTGGATATATTTATAAAGAATTGAAATGACCAGACGTTGTCACCAAAATCCGGTTGATTTAGTAATGGAATTCGTCAACCCAATCTCATGTCAGGTTTAGCAACCGTGCTTTTATATGTTGCAAAGGACCGTTTGAGAATGGAAATTATCCGTGCAGCTTCTATTTGACAAAGATACTTTAGAAAGGGGCAAAAATGCATTGCAAACTAAACTTTGCCAAGCTCAACTATGGCAGTACGCTGGAAAATAGTGTCTTAGAAAATTAACCCTTCATGACGACCAGTGTGATGTACAAACTACGAGTTATCACAAAATTGTAGCAGCAGTTGTCATAAACGGTCAAAAAATCATCTATGTTTCAATATTTTGTGTCCAAGGAGCATGTGGTGCTATAATTGGATTTCAAAGCACAAAGACGCAACACTGATGCAGAATACCCACCTTCTTGGCCTTGAGGAATCAGAGGATGAAAGGGAGAACGAACAGGATGAATTTTGTCGCTATGAACTGTGGAAAAGGTGCAATAAGGAAAATGGGAAGGACAGGAGCATGGCTCAAGATTTTTGAAGCACCTGGACTTGTCTAGCAATTGATAGTAGGATAAAGGTGCTGAGGAGAAGACCATGGGAAGCTTCACCCAAAAACAACAGCAGCTCAATACAAGTACAAGAACACTAAAGCCAAAGAGAAAGGAAGATTTACAAGCATATCACTCAATTCTTTTGTATTTACATATCTAACAGCTAAACTTCATTTTTTAAATATGTACCACCTTACCTATGCATGAATAGGTATATTTCACTTTTTAAAAGTTTAAATAGCCGTTTTTTTTATGTGATATGAAATATTTGGGTGGTATAAATGTAAAAATTGAAGTTTAGGCGTTAGATATGTGAATACATAAGAAGTGGGTGGTATGTATGAAAATGCCCCAAAAAAAGGTACTTATTCTCAAGCCAATATCAGTCTCAATGAAAAATTTTCCTTTTGGCCTTACAAATCAAATTACCATAAGAAAAAACTTTCTGGCTGAAATAACAAAAATAAAATAAACAAATAATACTGTACTAATAGAATAAAATGAGACTACATGTCCTACTAGTTAAATAGCAAGGTCGTCATGAAGTCTGAAAGGTTTCCTGATTTCTGATATCAATTCCCTCAGGTACAGAGAACTCTACTCTGGATAACAATACTCATCATAGACAACCAGCCAATGATAGCTCATCATAAGGAACCAAACTAGAATTTGGAGGATGGTGTGGCCAATCTATGACCTAGAAATTTTTAACAAAAGGTCTGAATGCCAATGACATCTGTAATAATCAGCTCCACATCTGTCAGTAAAGGTACAGGTGGTAGGGATGGAACTAATGCTGTTGTGGAAGATGCAATAACTCGCCTGAAATAACACTTGGAAAATGTAGGAGAACAGAGTATGCCTTGATAAATTATCAGATCTTATAAGTTGAAAGTGGAATCCAGATGACCATCATCCCTATACTAAGTAGATAGGCACCCTAAAGACCATACAGATCCTAGAGATCACCAAATCTTAAAAGCCAAAAGAGATCTCAAGGACCAGTGATGACAAAAGATCATTGAAACACGGGAGTTCTTCATTAAAATTACAGTTCTAGTTATTATTGTGTGATCAATTTTTATAGACATCATGAAAGAGGTTGGGGATTATCAAAATTGACATCAAGCCGAATCTAGAGAAATTACAGTAGTTTGAGATAGCTCCAGCTCTAATGGCGAACATGCTCAGCATGTTTATCCTGAATCATTATTCAAATTTGAAGGCTTCTAGGTGTGCAATCAAAAATGCAAATAACGAATTAGAAGGAACTACCAAAACATTTTAGTTAAGAGTCCAACACAATAATTGACAATTTTGTTTACCGTTCTGCTAAACATGAACTAATATGAATGCTAAGAAAACTTAAGAGATGTGCATTTCAAACTATTATGAGGCTAGATAAATGAAGGACAAGACAATTAAACCGGAAAAAATCCTTTAATTGGTTTGATGAATCTAATTTCATAAGTGATATATAAGATAAAAGATGCATAAAAACAACTAGGTAAATGGCTGCTCTTCTTCCTTAAATAGGAACTAACATGTTACTCTCAGAGTGATTGTTCTTTTCTTTACGAACAATGTTAATTAGCCTATAACCTTCAATACTCCTCCCCTTTTATAGTTAGAAAATGTTATTCATGAGCCGTTACGTTCTTCAAATTGAACAGTACCACAGGGCAGCAAAAAATCTCCTTATCTATAACAAATACCTTCCCCTTACAGACACAGTTGGTACACTCCTATCTAATAAGAGGGTGAAAATGTATCAAGGTAGCTCATACAAAAATGTACAGCCACTAAGCCTACTAGCATATCAATATTAGACGTGGGCATGAGTCTTTTGGTCAGGTTTCATTAATCTTCGTATAGCCAACACGCATTTGCGACCTGACACAAGCCTTCTTTACCATCCCCATGTTGGAAAACCAATCTTAACATACCTGGCCTCTCTAAAAAAGGGCAACAAGTAGCACCCCCACTTCCTTCCAAATCATAGTTTATATATGAACAAAGTGACAACACTTATTCTATAAAATTGGACCAATATGAAGTTGAATGTAGATTTAGAGATTGGAGACATCAAGATTGCCAACAATCATCGTGGAAGACTCCCGAAAGAACTACCAACAATAGCTCTAAGTAAATTAAATCAAATAGACGATTACCATGTGAAATGCAAACCCAGACTTGTCGTTGTGGCTGACAAGAACTTTGCAAATTTCTTCAACTTCTCAGTCGGTTGTCATTCGTCTTCCACTCTTCTCATACTTTATCTTTCAACATATTCAAATTGCATTCCATAGATACACACACAGACATCGGATTGTTCAATGTGGGGAACTTAATAAATAGGTGAGATATTGACACCACATCATGAAAATTGTTGAAAAGAGATTGGTCAAATATTGTGATGTGCATCAAACATACTCAAATTACCACAAACTCCTCCCTTTGAGTATCAAATATGTGTCGTCTCCTAGAACAACATCCAGAGTAACAACACCCTTAGACATTCTTTGTTCACAAGCAAAGCCAACAAGATCTCCATCTAATTCTTAAAATTTTTTATAGCTATCCTCATTTGGTCAGTTGTGTGTATCAATAAGAATGTGTAACACCTCATAGTTGTTATAATCACCCAAATATTGATGAAATTATTGAAGATGTTTTAGATGGCTTGGAGGACTTCCGTGAAAAATGTAGAGGAATTAGTAAAAATTTAACTAATGATCGTCCATTAATCAGAGGATACAAACCCTAGCAGCTTTAAAACTCACACAATTTATAATCACATCCAATCACTTGATGATGGATTTCACCCAAGTTGCATCACGCTATCACTCAACACTCAGTGGATGATGATGACCGGCTTCCCTACGTGTCAAAACAGCTAGCCTTCTTTGCTCAAAGAGGAGGAAGATTGTCTTGCGAAGAATTGCTTCAACTGGCCCTCTATGAATTTAGCAACTTCAAAATTCGAACAACCTATAATCACATCCAGTCACTCGAGATGGATCCCACCCAAGGTCAGTCTTGTCATCATCCTACACTAGAAGGGTGGTATAAACTAGCCTTCCTGCATAACTGGACGGCTATCCTATTTGGTTCTAAGAGAAGAGGAAACTATCTTGCCAAAAATTGCTTTGAGGGGCCTTCTCATGCAATTTAGCCAAGAATGAATTAAAGATCTAAACATTTTTGGTCTAGTGACTACTCTAGTTGTGATATAGGAAGAGCTAAAGCAGCAAGGATACATCGATGGCTAGCAAATAAACATAAGCTAACAAAAATATGCTCTCTTGAATTACCGTGAAGATCTTGTAATTCTCAGTCAAATTAGGGAGATTGTCATTGTGGGCCAATAGCCATAAGAAACAAGATCCATCTAGAATCGAGAGATGTCTTGTCAATCCGACCGATAGGTCTAACCACATCAAAATTTATCTCAAAAAGAGTTCTCTCCATGAGGCCTCATAATTGCAATCATTATATGTGAACCGGTCCTCTCCTGAAAATTGTGTGGTTGCTTTCAAGTTTAAAATACCATAGGGACGTCGGCTCTTAGGTGTATAAGAAAATCTAATAGACATCAGTTTACTAAGATGCCTCTCAAGCATTTTGATCATTGTGGTTGAAGTTGATTCACAATAAAAAGTAGCTTCATGGATAGCCAAACAATACTAAGTAATATAACACTAAAAACGATCAATCTCACTACCAGATGTTAAGAAGTATCTAAGCAAATTTTAGAGTAAAGTTGCAAGAGACAAACCCCACGACAAATTGTTGATGCAACTCATCAAAAAAAGAAATATTATCGTGGAAGAAGGATAAATAACCTTTGCATTGTATCCGTCAAGGTGATTGTAAAGCCCGATAATGAAAGTTCTCCATGCCGGGCTACAGCATATCACATCAGCAAAAGTACTTAGAAGGTTAATAGGTTCCCTTGGGTTGTTATAGTGATCAAGTGTCGACACGTTGAACTTCGCTAACAAAAGTTCATTATCTTTGGCATGATTTGGGAAGAGTTGATCTCGTAACTCTTTCAAGGGGTGTTTGCTTAACTAGTCAACCAACAAAGAGGAAGGGATGAGAAAGATGGTACTACGTTGTCAAAATTGTCAAGGGCGCTGGTACAAAAATGTCGAGAGCACACTTTAAAGCTAAGCTACTAGAATAGTAGAGCCCACAAGAGCAAGGTATCCTCTTCCTAAAATCTCCAAAAAAAATGCAGCATTGTAATAAAAATTCAACTGGTTGGGAAGAAGTTATGCTGCTATTTCT